CCGTGTGTGTGTGTGTGTGTGTGTGTGTGTGTGTGTGTGTGTATGCAGGCAAGGGAGAAAAGAAGGGAAAGAAAAGTGAAGTTATATGTCTCTAACATCAGAGAATCTCTTTAGGGAACCCTGGTGTCAGAGATACTCAGCTGACACTACTGACACTACAGGCTGCTGTCACTAAACGCCCCACTGTTGCTCTCACTGGAGCAGAGCACAGTAGCCAGTGTTGGTCATCATATTCGGAAGATTCTGCATGGTTCCCCACTTCACTGTATCATTCACTGTTTCATGGCTAGATGCAGTCACAGTGTACCCAGGGTGGCCTTGAACTGTGCTTCTTCTGTCCTAGCCTCCTGAGTGCTGAGATTATCAGGCCTGCGCCACCATGTCCAGCTCTATCATTAACTGTGAAGTTTAAGGCAGGTGCAGCTCTCCTAAATGTGAAGGAGCCTGAGAAAATGTACCGTCTGGCACTTTCAAGTTTTCTAGGAGGGAGGAAAGCTCTGTCTCAGTTAGGTACAAGATTTGTAATATAAGTTAGGCTACTGGGACACCCAGTCAAGATGAGGCATCTGCCACACCCTGTTCCTCTGGCTAATGATGTCAATGTATTTCATCAGCTAAGGCTTACACTTGGCAGACATTCCATTCAAGGACTTAACAGTGCAATAGCCAAACATGGCTGTTTTCTTAATACTGTTTCTTTGCTAACAGAATACTGATTTTATTTGGGGCAGCTGTACTCAAGCCTTTTTTGCAGTTATATGGGGATACTTAACAGATCCAGCAAATATGGCAAGAGAAGTCTGCCTGGGATTTCTAAAAAAAAAAAAAAAAAGTAAGATTTTCTTTTGGTACTGGGGATCAAACTCAGGACCTTGCACTTACTAGGAACATGCTTAAGCCGCTGAGCTAGCTCCCTAGCCCTAGGTTTTCTTATACAAGGTAGTATGTATAGCTGCCATAGGGCATTTTCTATTCTTTTCTCTGCTTTTGATATAGGCAAGACAGCAACCTTCTAGTAACTGTAAGAAAATAGCATGAATGATGGTAAAGAAGCAGTTTGTTTTTTTTTTTTTTTGACAGGGTCTTGCTGTGCAGTTCAGACTGGCCTTGAACTCACTATGTAGTCCAGGCTGGTCTCAAACTTGTAGCCTCCTGAATGCTTGATTACAGGAGTATACCACTACACCTGGCTGGAAGCAGACTGAAAGCTGGAATTGCATCCTTTCTCGTGTGCACAAACAACTCCTGACCCAGCTCTGCTTCTTTCAGTTACAGCACATGTACTCTCAACTATATCACTGTAGAAAACATACTAATTGCAGGTCATTGGCTGATTCCATTTAGTGAATTATTTTCTAACTTATGGGCTTGGTGGGGTTTTTTGCCCTGTTACAGATTTTGCCATGAACTCTACACAGTATTTTGCATTTAAAGACATCATAACCTTTTGGTTTAGAGACTGCCTAAGTGTGAATGGTTCAAACTTGGATAAGTAACAACCACTTTGTGCCTGGGTAACTGTGAAATGAGTACAGCAGAAATGGAGATTATATATATTATTACCTGACTTGGGTAGGGTTGTGATTATTGGCAATACCTTCCATACCTTGCTTCTGTGACACCAAGCTTTCCTAACTGTCCTCCCAGCTGTTCACGGTCCCTATTAGATTCTCAAGTTTAAACTCTTCTTCTGTCTCCTGTAGGTACTTACATTGGATTCATTATACTAGAGCAAATGTGCACTTGCTTGTCTTTCCTACCTAGCATATCTTTGAAAAGTGTCAAAGCCTTTTCCAACTCAACCCTTAATGAAATGCTTTACACATATAGACTATGTAATATTACACTATTACATTGAAAGTTATGGAGATTTTTAAAATATAATGTCCTGGAATCACATCTTCAAATTTCTATTTCATTAGGTCAGTGAGCTGTATTTTGAGGAACAATGAAAAATACCTTGAATGTCTGAATCATGTGTAAGGTACTGTTGTAATTAATACTGAGTAGCATAAGATGCTATTTGGAGTGTTACTCTGCTGAATACATTGTGCTAATTATAAACTACTTAGGAAAGCTTTGTCATAACTACTTAATAGGTGACAAAAAACCCACTCTGTACTTTCTACTAATAAGGCGCATTACTGAGTAAAATTAGCTAATGCATCAGATGTGGTGTTACATGCCCATACTCCTAGCACTCAGGAGGCTGAGGCAGGATTGCTGTGAGTACAAGGCCAGCCTGAGCTCCTTCGTGAGGCATTTGCTTAAAAAACAAAACCAGATACCAACTAATGTTCTCAAAAAGTCTTTTATTAGAAATAATGTCATACTAAAATTTTGCTTGCAAGTCAATTTCCTTCACCCGCTCAAAAAAGAATATTCCTCTTCCAGTTCTGTGACTGTACATTACCTTCACAGCATTAGTACCAGCTAGAATTTATGATGTAGGGCACTGAAAGCTCTTTATATTTTTTCTGAGACAGGATCTCATTATGTAGTTCAGGTTGGTCTTGAACTAATGGAGATACTCCTAACTCAGCCTCCCAAGTGCTTGGACTATACAGATGTGCACCACCACACCTTATCTGCTCTTTATACTTATACTACAAGCTTCTCATTTTCCAAGGGGGAAGTTAACATATAAATTTATCTTGATACCTGAGATGTAAAGTACTTCATAAAAAGCTCTAAAGGAGCATATAGCAGGTAAAGGGACACCATATTATACCTTAATGGACTGGTGGACAAATTTATCAGTTTCCATGAAACCTGGGCATAGTGACTGAGGATATAGTATATCCGCCTTCTAAATGGATGTGGGGGACAACCTAGGGCAGTTCGGGCATACTTGAGGGCAAACAGTTCAACTACCTTTATTTACTCTTATGAAATAAAAATGCTCTTACTTGGGGGTGGAAGTATTTTCAGCTAAATCTCTGTAAGACATCAAACAGAAACTTGAAATTTCTAAAATGATGTATGCCTCCTACTGCCTACTACTCTAGTATAGGCAAAGTTCATAGTATTGCTGGGGTCAGATACTTTCACATCTTGCAGATTTCTGTTGTTTCATCTGGGATTAGTTTGCCAAAGCAGTATAAAAGAAACTTACAGCGCACAAAGCACCACTAGCAAAGAACTTTTTAACACTGTTTCTCTCATGCAGTTTGGTGTGTAGTTACTGGAAAATATTGACAGGTTTAGCATACACTTTCAAATGCTTTGGGCAAACCTAGAGAGATGATCTAACTGGAAATAATTTATAAACTTGTAATGAGTAACTGAGACAGGAGAATGAGCTTAGTAAAAGCTGACAACTCAGCATTTGAATCTCAATTGTTTTGCTGTTTGCCTATACATTATGAACGTTAGTAATTCTCTTTAGGTAATAAAAATGCTTCCATGCAAAAGAGCAGATACAAAAAAGCTCAACTATAAGTGCTAGTAAAGAAACATTAGGATTTTTTTTGGCTAGCTCAGGCTGCCATAAGGGCGGCACTGGTGTGGCTTGTGGAGCTGGGGATCGAACCGCAGTCCCCTGGGCCTGACTGAGTTTGCCCAAGCAGGTGCTTTAAACAACTGAGCTAACTGGCAAGCCCCCCAAGAAACATTAAGAAGTGTTGGTTAAGTATAAAAGTTATATATATACACACGTATGTATACATATATATCTAAGAACTATGCTGCAGATAAAGCTGGCATGTTCTGCTCTTCACACTTAGGTAAACTACCTAAGTGGAAGACTTCTTAGGAAGTGAAAATTATTCATATATTTTTGAGGGGCTACAGACTGAACCCAGGGCCTGGTACATGCTAGGCAAGCATTTTACCACTGAGCTACACCTCCCAGCCAAAAACTTTTATTTAATCAAATAAATCTTTTGGCATTTGCATTGCATGCGCTTGTGCACGCACATACAGAGAACAAGTCCTCTGCATTCTCTGAATGGTACCACAGCTACACTATCACTTGTTCTTAGACACGTTCCCCGGGTCCGTGGTAAGCAGTCGGTCCTCCCAGATTCAGAGGGAATGCACCTGGCCAGAATGCTGACTCAGCACCAGAGAGGCTCAAAACTTCCCAGAAGAATGACATTACAAATCAGAGAATCTGCCAATTTAGTTCTGTGGAGTCATATTACTTTTGTCAAAGGGAAAAAAATTCAGCCTATGCCAAATAGATTTAAAAAGTTAATTCTCTTTAAAAATTTGTTATAAGCATATTTTATAACTTTATATAAAATAAAATAATTGGTTTATAATAAAATATTCAAACTTTCAAAGATGTGAAAAACAAAATGAACTGAAAATAAAGTTGATAGAAATTTAGGTCCCTGAAATAAAAATGAAAAGTAGTCTTTTATAAAAAAGAAGGGTGAAACTCAATTTGTATTCTAATACACCCAAAAACCAGGTTTTGCAAATAGTAGGTTCTGACTAGGAATTCTATACTGCCACTTGATACCTTTAAGCAACACTAAATCAAGTCTGAAGCAAGACACTGAAAGGACAACACTCAAATGGAAAGATAAGAACTTCCTTCCTTAATAGGCAATCTCTAGGCATCACTCAGAAGTTCAGTTATTTGATGGGTTGGGAAGCAGTGTCCATTGAGTTTTCCTTTCTGACCTGAAGAGACTCACTGCTGATGGATAATAATTCTCGGAGTTCCTTATTTTCAAGCTGCAAACAAACAAACAAAAACCAGAATATATACTTTATTCTCATTTTTTACTGTCAAACTGTCAGACCACACTGGTTTTGGGCTAGGAGCAGAAAACATTTGGGGGTGGGGTGGGGTGGGGTGGGGATTGACACAGGGCCTTAGGTAGTTGAGGCTGGCCGTGAACTCACTATATAGCCTAGGCTGGCCTCAAATATAAATCGATCTTCCAGCCTCAGCCTCCCAAGTGCTGGGATTACACGTATATACCATCATGTCCAACTAGAAAACAAACTTTTAATTTATAAGTTTCAAGAAAACAAAAACTCAACTAGTTGAGAATTTTCTAAATGTTTTTTCTTTTTCTTTCCTTTTTAATGATTTACTGAGTAATTTTTATATACCACATTTCCCCCCAAATAAGACCCAAGAAGAAAATAAACCCTACCATGCTTTTTCAGGATGCTCATAATAAAAGCCCTATCTCCTTTAAAATAGCCTGTTAAGGGGCTGGGGAGATGGCACAGTAGAATAAGTGCTTACCTGGCAAGCTCAAGGGCCTGAGTTCAATCCCCAGTTCCACCAAATAAAATAAAATAGCCTGTTAAGATCCTCATGGAGGGATATGATGGTGCACAACTATAATCCCTGCACTTGAGAGGCTCAGGCAGGAGGATTGCTGTGAGTTCAAGGCCAGTTTATACTACATAGTGAGACCTTGTTTATACTACATAGTGAGACCTTTCAAACACCTGTCCTCCAAAAAGACGGTCAGCCGGACAGATACAATTTAGTATGTCAGCTACAACACATGAAACATATTGAATTATAAAGTGATATTAATATATAAATACTGACATTAATGCTTAAATAATAATCAAATTATAATTATGTACTTGTAAATACCCAAGTGGGATGTCTCTGGACCTATGTAAACAGATGAACTTGAGGCTCACTTTCAAATGACCAGTTACTGTATAGATACATGTGAATGACATGTATACTGGATAATGAATGGACATGGTTGTGAATGATACGAATCTTCGTAATTCAACACATCGTGTGTCGTAGCAATGAATTCCAAGCAGGCTACATGCACAAGTGCTCATTTCAGGACAGCTCCATTGCTGAACATGAGATTGGTGCCAATGATTCTACAAGAAATGGAGTCACTAGAAATTCATGCTGAATTTGGGATTTGGAGAGTTAGGACAAATATTTGAGAAGACCACAATATTTGGATAAATGTTAATTTTTGTACACAAATGTAGATTTTTATATATTTTTATACATAAAATAAAAACAGATCATTGTACATGAATATATGTAGATTTTTATACATAAAAAAAATAAAAATAAGGCCAGCCAGATAGCTCAGCAGACTAAAGCATCTGCTTAGGCAGAGTGCAGTAGC